ATAATCAAAAAGATAACAAAGATGATACTACTAAGAATCACAATAGCAATAACTACAACCATAATGATAATGATAATTATGATAAAAGTAACAATGATCAGGGTAAAGATGATAATAGAAATGATAATGATAATAAAGCATTAAAAATACCAATAAAACTAAGTAACAACATTAATAAGCAATATAATGATAACTATAATCCCCAGCAGTAGTATGAAAAACAACAGTAATGATAATGATAATCATATTGATTATAATGATGACAATAATAATGATAATAATAATAGTAATAATGATAATGAGAATAAAGAATAGTAGTATTAATGATAACAATAATGATAATGATGATAACAAGAATAATGATCATGATTGTAACAAGGATAATGATTATGGAATAATAAAAGTGAAGATCATAAAAGTAATGATGTTACTGATAAAGATAATAATAATGATAATAATAATAATGATGATAATGATAATAATAATAATAACCATAATAACAATACCAATGATAATAATGATGATAATAATAGTGATAATGATGTTAGTATTACTGATAATGATGATATTAATATTGATAATAGTAAAAATAATCCAAATTATTGATAATGATGATAATAATAATTGATGATAGTAACGATGATAATAACAATGATAATGATAATAATGATAATAATAACAATGGTGCTAAAGCTAACAACTGCAGTAATGATACTGAATTTCAATTATGGTGATAGTAATAATGATAACGATGATGATGATTATGATTATGAAGATAATGATGAGGATGGTGAAGAGGATGATAATGATAATAATAATGATAATGATGATAGGAAAGATAATGGCAATGATAACAGAATCATAATGTTAAAAATAACATTAATGATTATTATAGTAACTATGGTAATGCTAATAATGGTCATGATAATCCATAATAACAGTTATAATAATAGCGATAATATAACAATAATAACGAAACAAGTACATGAAAGGATCAGCTAGAGCGAGAGAAAAAAGTACTGAACCATTATCTATATTCGATTTTAACAATCATGACTTTGCATTTATAGTTTTTCCTCGACTCATCATGCTTCACGGAAAGGACTAATTTCGTCGCCGAGAGACTCCTAAAGACCGACCTCGGCGCGAAGGTGTGGCTTTTCCGACACTATAGCACGACCTTTCCGCCCGGATGGAAAGTGTTTCCCATAAAAGCGGATTCTGGGCGATCGGCGACGTCCATACAGCTCTCGACATGGTACGTAGACTCTCCGAAGAAGGGAGGTTGCTTACGATGCTGGAATTCGTTGCGTGGCAGTTAACGGGGCAGTGCGTGTTAGCATGCGATACACTTCAAACAATTACACACATAGATAATGTACTTATAGGTACATATACATATATATATTACACATATGAATACATACACACACACACATATATATATGTATATATATATATATATATATATATATATATATATATATATATATATATATATGTTTGTATATATACACACATCTCTGCGTCCATACATATATATGTATATACACATAATTACATACAAGTATGTATATATGTATACAGACAGAAACACATCCGCACACACATATACACAGATACACACACCCACATATATAAAACCCATATACATGTGTGTGTGTATGTGTATGTGTGTGTGTGTGTGTGTGTGTGTGTGTGTGTGTGTGTGTGTGTCTGTGTGTATATATATGTATAAACACATGCGTTTATGAATATATGTATATATATATATATATAATATATATATATATATATATATATATATATATATATATATATATATATATATATATATATATATATATATGTATATATGTATATATATATATATATATATATATATATATATATATATATATATATATATATGCATATATAAGTATATGAATATATATGCATATGTATGTATATATAAAAGTGTAAACACACGCACATATATGTATCTTTGTATATCTATGTGTCAGTCTATCTATCTATATATGAATATATACGTATATGCATATGTATATGTTTATATATACATATGTTTGTGTGTATGCATGTATATACATACATACATACATACATATATATATATATATATATATATATATATATATATATATATATATATATATATATATACACACATATATGGATATATATGTATCAACATGTGTATAGGTATGTATGTATATCTGTATATATAAGTGTGTGTGTCTATGCGTATATATCTGTTTGTATATGCATATATAACATCTTTAGTTTGCGTCGATAGAAACATAAAAAAGTGAATCTGACTTCTCTTTCAGAATCCGGTTAAGCTGAGCCTCTGCCTGGCCCTTCTGGCCGCCGGCGCCGTCGCAGACACTCGCTCCCACGCCCATGGAGGATTCGTAGGACACGCAGGACCCTCCCTCGGAGTGGCCCATGGACACGGCGGTTCCCTTGTGTCTGGACACGGCGTCTCGCACGGAGGATCCTTTGGGCGTGGAGTGGGCGGCCACGGAGGGCCGGTGGTCGTAGGACACAGCGTGTCCAGCGGTCCCGTCTACGGCGGCGGCCATGGCGTCTCCGTCAGCGGAGGCCATGGCCTCAGTTCTCACGGAGGACTTCGTCCTAGCATTGGACACAGCAGCGTTTCAAGCGCCAACTTCCACGGCAGCTCCTTTGGCGGACACGGCGTGAACGGAGGCTCGCTCTCGCGCCCTCACATCGTATCACGCCCACACGTTGCCTCACGCCCACATGTCGTCTCACGCCCACACACTAGCTTCTCCACAGGCTTCAGCAGCGGCCACGGAGGCGTCGTTGGACATCATGGCGCTCCTAGCTATGGAAGGCACTGAATGCAGCGAAGACAAACTTTCCCCTAATATATGAAAATAAATGTCTACATCTGATTCTTGTTCTACACTTAACCCTTTATTGGCTAAAAAAGGTGTCACTGACAGTTTTGTCATAAAATGGAATGCTTCCTAGCCTTCCATTTCCTTAATCATGATGTTTACCATGCAAAAGACAGGTAGGTTCATTAATGAGTCATGTCATGCCTTTGCGCCACATATATGTTATGTGAATATCATACACATACATATATGTGTCAACATATGTGTATGTGTGTAAATATGTGTATTTATGTATACATACAATATGCATATAAATTTATATGTATATAAAAACACCCACATTAGGGTAGTGATAACAAAGAACAATACCGTTAATTTTCGTGACAAGTAACACATGAACAACATCGACGATGAAAAGATATTAATCATAAACACAATGCGTTCACAAAGACGAAATGAAACATAACCTTTATGATAAACGAAACACGGAGCCTTAGCGTTTCGGGTAAGGCGAGACCTCCTTTAATTCTACTAGAGACCCCACAGTTCAGTGCTTCACTTCTGTTATGGTGGTGGGGATAGCTATGGTGATGTAAATAACCCTGTTGATGATTGGAATTATCTTTATCAAGGTTTTGATAATGTTTGTCATAATCTGGGGCTACATAAGCAATATTTGTCCCTGGAAAAGGACTCGAGTACGCTCCTATCAAGCCCTTTTGGCCATGTCTACGCGCAGTATCTAGGGAACAAGGCGAGCCAACCCAGGAGCGTTCTTTGCCTGCCCCCGGGAATGGAATCATCTATAACAAGGGTCTTGGGAGCCTGTGACACATCATCGTCCTGTGGTAGCATCATAAAATGCTTTGAAGATATCCCAAATAACTTACTTCTGGAAGCATGGGGCTTAGCTGCCAGAGATAGCATTGGGAAAGGCCTTTACAAGACGCCTTTATAAGGTACTGTGGAAAGTTTATGCTGATCAAGATGTAAACCATACAACAGTACATCATAGATATTATATCTTCAGCTTTGAAGATGCAGACCAGTAACAAGATTGGTATATTTCATGGATTGTCGATCTGCAGCCCAGTGTTTGGAAGAAAGATGGATTATTCATGTTTATCAAAATTATGTATCCATATATATTCATATATGTATATATATGTATATATATATATATATATATATATATATGTGTGTGTGTGTGTGTGTGTGTGTGTGTGTGTGTGTGTGTGTGTGTGTGTGTGTGTATATACATATATATATATATATATATATATATATATATATATATATATATATATATATATATATATATATATATATATAATATATATATATATATATATATATAATAATATATAATATATATATATATATATATAATTATATATATATATATATATATATATATATATATATATATATATATATATATATATATATAAAGAGAGAGGGGGGCGAGTTTATATGTGAATGGAAGAAGAAAGAGTGTATATGAGAGAGAAAGGGAAAAAGAGAAAGAGAACGAGTCATAGGACAGGCAGAGTACCTATGTAAGTATGAGCATATATATTTATGTGAGCATGTGTGCTTGTGTATGTGTGCGTATGCATGTATTTATCTATCTATTCTTTTATCATTCTATATGGAAAATAAAATTCAGTGTACATAGATTATGATGCATAAAATAACTTGATCTGCCAAACCCCAGTCAATATATTGTTGTGAATGTCCATAAGTGCAGATAAGAGAGGAGGGATAGTATTTATGAATCCAGAATTTAGTAGCCATTGTCAGCAATGCACTAATTGCACAATGATCCTTTTGGATAAAAGGAATATCAGTATGAAAAAACAAGTACTTCCTCTCGATAAACAAATAAATCATTTTTGGAAATGAAATAACGAATGCCAATAAATATCCAATTTTAGAAGTACCAATACAAACAGCAGAAGCGGATCCATGTATATTTGCGGTGCGTGTTTCTATGAGCACTATTTTTCAAAAAGCAAAGTCATATGGGTAGATTAAGCAAAAATCGACCTTGAGATCGACGCTTGGTTATTTCGAAGGCTATAAAGTGACCTTCCTGTCTGGCTGGAAAGTCCGTCCTATAAAAGCGGATCGGTGGGGCTGAAGGCATCCAAACCGTCACCAGCATGGTAAGTGGATGCTCCTAAGGCTGGTGCTCGTGGTGTTCCGTTCTTGAGCTGAAATTCAAGTCAGGAACTTAAACTGAATCAAATAATAACAATGAATATCTTACAGAGCGAATAGACATATGTGTGTATATTTAGGATTATATACGATCTAATGATATAATTTTTCTCCATCTTTAGAAGTTCCTTAACAACGATGACGAATCATCTTTAGTTAGTCTATAAAAAATATTGAAAGTGAATCTGACTTCTCTTTCAGAATCCGTTTAAGCTGAGCCTCTGCCTGGCCCTTCTGGCCGCCGGCGCCGTCGCAGACACTCGCTCCCACGCCCATGGAGGATTCGTAGGACACACAGGACCCTCCCTCGGAGTGGCCCATGGACACGGCGGTTCCCTTGTGTCTGGACACGGCGGTTCCCTTGTGTCTGGACACGGCGTCTCGCACGGAGGATCCTTTGGGCGTGGAGTGGGCGGCCACGGAGGGCCGGTGGTCGTAGGACACAGCGTGTCCAGCGGTCCCGTCTACGGCGGCGGCCATGGCGTCTCCGTCAGCGGAGGCCATGGCCTCAGTTCTCACGGAGGACTTCGTCCTAGCATTGGACACAGCAGCGTTTCAAGCGCCAACTTCCACGGCAGCTCCTTTGGCGGACACGGCGTGCACGGAGGCTCGCTCTCGCGCCCTCACATCGTATCACGCCCACACGTTGCCTCACGCCCACATGTCGTCTCACGCCCACACACTAGCTTCTCCACAGGCTTCAGCAGCGGCCACGGAGGCGTCGTTGGACATCATGGCGCTCCTAGCTATGGAAGGCACTGAATGCAGCGAAGACAAACTTTCCCCTAATATATGAAAATAAATGTCTACATCTGATTCTTGTTCTACACTTAACCCTTTATTGGCTAAAAAAGGTGTCACTGACAGTTTTGTCATAAAATGGAATGCTTCCTAGCCTTCCATTTCCTTAATCATGATGTTTACCATGCAAAAGACAGGTAGGTTCATTAATGAGTCATGTCATGCCTTTGCGCCACATATATGCTATGTGAATATCATACACATACATATATGTGTCAACATGTGTGTATGTGTGTAAATATGTGTATTTATGTATACATACAATATGCATATAAATTTATATGTATATACAAACACCCACATTAGGGTAGTGATAACAAAGAACAATACCGTTAATTTTCGTGACAAGTAACACATGAACAACGTCATCGACGATGAAAAGATATTAATCATAAACACAATGCGTTCACAAAGACGAAATGAAACATAACCTTTATGATAAACGAAACACGGAGCCTTAGCGTTTCGGGTAAGGCGAGACCTCCTTTAATTCTACTAGAGACCCCACAGTTCAGTGCTTCACTTCTGTTATGGTGGTGGGGATAGCTATGGTGATGTAAATAACCCTGTTGATGATTGGAATTATCTTTATCAAGGTTTTGATAATGTTTGTCATAATCTGGGGCTACATAAGCAATATTTGTCCCTGGAAAAGGACTCGAGTACGCTCCTATCAAGCCCTTTTGGCCATGTCTACGCGCAGTATCTAGGGAACAAGGCGAGCCAACCCAGGAGCGTTCTTTGCCTGCCCCCGGGAATGGAATCATCTATAACAAGGGTCTTGGGAGCCTGTGACACATCATCGTCCTGTGGTAGCATCATAAAATGCTTTGAAGATATCCCAAATAACTTACTTCTGGAAGCATGGGGCTTAGCTGCCAGAGATAGCATTGGGAAAGGCCTTTACAAGACGCCTGTATAAGGTACTGTGGAAAATTTATGCTGATCAAGATGTAAACCATACAACTGTACATCATAGATATTATATCTTCAGCTTTGAAGATGCAGACCAGTAACAAGATTGGTATATTTCATGGATTGTCGATCTGCAGCCCAGTGTTTGGAAGAAAGATGGATTATTCATGTTTATCAAAATTATGTATCCATATATATTCATATAATATATATGCATATATATGTATGCATCATGATGGATGTGTGTGTGTGTGTGTGTGTGTGTGTATGTATATATATATATATATATATAGTGTGTGTGTGTGTGTGTGTGTGTGTGTGTGTGCTGTATATATATATATATATATATATATATATATATATATATATATATATATATATATATATATATATATAATAATAAATGAATAAATATATATATATATATATATATATATATATAATATATATATATATATATATATATATATATATATATATATATATATATATATATATATATATATATATATAAAGAGAGAGGGGGGCGAGTTTATATGTGAATGGGAGAAGAAAGAGTGTATATGAGAGAGAAGGGGAAAAAGAGAAAGAGAACGAGTCATAGGACAGGCAGAGTACCTATGTAAGTATGAGCATATATATTTATGTGAGCATGTGTGCTTGTGTATGTGTGCGTATGCATGTGTGTATGTATTTATCTATCTATTCTTTTATCATTCTATATGGAAAATAAAATTCAGTGTACATAGATTATGATGCATAAAATAACTTGATCTGCCAAACCCCAGTCAATATATTGTGTTGTGAATGTCCATAAGTGCAGATAAGAGAGGAGGGATAGTATTTATGAATCCAGAATTTAGTAGCCATTGTCAGCAATGCACTAATTGCACAATGATCCTTTTGGATAAAAGGAATATCAGTATGAAAAAACAAGTACTTCCTCTCGATAAACAAATAAATCATTTTTGGAAATGAAATAACGAATGCCAATAAATATCCAATTTTAGAAGTACCAATACAAACAGCAGAAGCGGATCCATGTATATTTGCGGTGCGTGTTTCTATGAGCACTATTTTTCAAAAAGCAAAGTCATATGGGTAGATTAAGCAAAAATCGACCTTGAGATCGACGCTTGGTTATTTCGAAGGCTATAAAGTGACCTTCCTGTCTGGCTGGAAAGTCCGTCCTATAAAAGCGGATCGGTGGGGCTGAAGGCATCCAAACCGTCACCAGCATGGTAAGTGGATGCTCCTAAGGCTGGTGCTCGTGGTGTTCCGTTCTTGAGCTGAAATTCAAGTCAGGAACTTAAACTGAATCAAATAATAACAATGAATATCTTACAGAGCGAATAGACATATGTGTGTATATTTAGGATTATATACGATCTAATAATATAATTTTTCTCCATCTTTAGAAGTTCCTTAACAACGATGACGAATCATCTTTAGTTAGTCTATAAAAAATATTGAAAGTGAATCTGACTTCTCTTTCAGAATCCGTTTAAGCTGAGCCTCTGCCTGGCCCTTCTGGCCGCCGGCGCCGTCGCAGACACTCGCTCCCACGCCCATGGAGGATTCGTAGGACACACAGGACCCTCCCTCGGAGTGGCCCATGGACACGGCGGTTCCCTTGTGTCTGGACACTGGACACGGCGTCTCGCACGGAGGATCCTTTGGGCGTGGAGTGGGCGGCCACGGAGGGCCGGTGGTCGTAGGACACAGCGTGTCCAGCGGTCCCGTCTACGGCGGCGGCCATGGCGTCTCCGTCAGCGGAGGCCATGGCCTCAGTTCTCACGGAGGACTTCGTCCTAGCATTGGACACAGCAGCGTTTCAAGCGCCAACTTCCACGGCAGCTCCTTTGGCGGACACGGCGTGCACGGAGGCTCGCTCTCGCGCCCTCACATCGTATCACGCCCACACGTTGCCTCACGCCCACATGTCGTCTCACGCCCACACACTAGCTTCTCCACAGGCTTCAGCAGCGGCCACGGAGGCGTCGTTGGACATCATGGCGCTCCTAGCTATGGAAGACACTGAACGAAGTCGAAATTTCCTCAAATCCATGAAAATAAATGTCTACATCTGATTCTAGTCCTACACTTAACCCCTACTGGAGAACGGCAATGGGACATGCCTTTAAGTAAATGAACAGCTTTACCATGCAACGAAAACGTATGAGAATCAATTTCAAGCTAATATCTCCTCTGTACTTATTCATTCCATCGTCAAATATCCATCACTAATCAAAGGCTTCTCACATTTCAGTTTAAAATCTCTAAAAATCAAAATAGCAAAAAAGCGACATTCCTTTCTATTAGATCTATATTTTCTATGTGATTTAATTCCTCCTATTGGAATTCCCATTGATGCGGAGTAAAACAAATAGTCGTTCCAAAGCCACAGAAGAACAAATTTCCGAAGGAGACACCACCGAATGATAATAATAGTGCTAATACTAAAAAAAATATGCCGCCTACTAATCTTAAACTGATAACTGAAGAAACATGGAATAAGCTAAATCAATTCTAAAGATGACAGTAAGGATTTCTCATACAGTAAATATTGCTGGTACTGGTGATGAGAAGCAATAACGATGGAGTAATGACAACGGCAATGATAGTCAGGGCCTCCTCTTTCTGGAAGAGGAGGATCCGCTAGGGGCTCCAACTCCAGTGGAGGATTCCCGGTGGCATTGGATCCTCTACTCTTGTTGCATTCCCCAGCGCCCATGGCGGTTCCCAGTCGTTAGGCTTTTCCTCCCGCCCTGCGCCCGGTGGGTCGAGACCAGCGGCCGCCCATTTGCAATTTACCTGCAAGAAGCAGGTATGGAAATCATGTACACAAACATGGCGCTATCGGAGTGAGGTCCCGGGAATCACACGAACATTCTCATACATATTACGTTATTTTAAAGAAATATGATGATGTACATTGTATATACGAATGTTCTAAAATATAAGCTTATTCATTCTCATTCTCATTCACTCATCCTATCTAATTTATTAATAGCACAAGATCAACACGGAAATTAGTCAGACGGATACGGTCGTAACCGTCTTGGTCTGGGAGGCGTTCCGTTTGTAGACGATCCTTGCGGAAAGCCTCGAATTCAGACGGAACCCCAGAAACTGATGGAAAAAGTGCTAGTGTGATAGGATATTCCCAAGGCAGCAATCATCGCCCATGTCAAGAAATATAATGATATATATTTTATATACGAATGTTCTAAAGTATTAGCTTATGTTTTCATTAACATTCTATCTAATTTATCAATAAAAACATTCTAGCTGTATAGATCCTTCGAAGCACAAAAACAAGACGGAAATTAGTCAGACGGAAACGGTCGTAACCGTCTTCGTCCCGGTGTTCCGTTTGCAGTCGATACTTGAGGAAAGCCTCAGATTCAGACGGAAGCGCGAAAATTGACGGAGAAGGTGAAAGTGTGATAGAGCAAGGATGAAATTCAAGTAATATGATATTTAGTATAAAGGTTAAGCCGTTCAGGGCTTCATTAGGTATCGAAAGATTTTCACCAGAATACATAGCGTTCATTATCCTTTCTGCTTTTTGTCTTTTCATTATGTTTCCTTTTTTTTATCATAATGTTTTTTCTACTTGCTCTTCATCAAGTTTTTTCTCACTCTTTCTGCATTGTCTCCTCATTTGGTTCTTCTCTACACTCTCTTTTGCGATGCTCCAAGTAAGTGTAGAGAGTGAGCATTGTGCTGGAAGAAAGGATGATGGTTGCCCAAGAGGATCTTCGTCAAGTGAATAGGTTCGAATCCTACTACACACAAGTAGTGGCCTTACTGTTAGAACCAAAGTATCTATACAACATTTAGCAATGTCATCGCTCTTACAGAAAAATAATGATAACAATGATAATAAGTGAAGAGAAAGAGAGAGAACAAACTGTATATAATGTTAATTGCCACAGAGACTGATTCTTCTACCTCTTCCAGCCCAGTCAAATATGCATACGTTATGGACTGTTGTATTCGTGCTATATATACAAATGTGAGTAAACTTTCAATTCAATAGTAATTTGAAGTTATTCTTCTCAGCAGAAATAACATTCGCACACCAAGCA